CAATTAACCACTAGGAAGAATGTATGCAATGTGTTAATTATTGAAACTATCCTACCAGTTTGGTTTGAAACTGTCTCATTGCCATTTGTTTCTCAATAAAATTATGGAAAATAATTTTTAAAAAATAAATAAAGCCTCTTCAGGCAAAATCAGGTGCTGATGAACATCAAAAAAAAAGAAAAGAAAGAAATTATAAAAGTGTAGGTAAAGCTAAAAAAATGAGAGAGAGAATGTGCATAGGTTATATTTTTATACAATGGGTTTGAGCTTCCAAGAATTTTGGTATTCCAGTAGAACTGGAAACTTATGTTTTGAGGATACATTCTGTATGACTCTATTTCAAATGACCCGAGCTTTGTACTCAGCCCTACCAGGATACTCAAACCAGAGAAGAAAAATTCTATCAATTGCTGCCTACCATCTGGTATCCCAAATTCAAACACAAGTAGTGCTAAGGTTTCCTCTGGTATTGAAAGAAAGTTGAGGATCAAGAGATATTATGCAAAATGGGATTTAGCATGGCTGAAAAAGTTAGAGGATCTGCAACATGAAAGCCACTCTTCTACTAAACAGGAACCTTTAGCAGGATGTCTATGTTCATAATTAGGAAATTACCTAAAGCAAAGCCATGCTGCTTCTTTGGGACACAGCTGTGTTCTGCACTTTACCTCTTTTCTTCTATATCTGACCTTTGACATTATGTGGCAGACCCTGTGGGAACATAGTGCCTTCTAGACTGGCAAGTAGCTCATTCTTTGAGCAGTATTCATATCCACATTGATTACTGATAGCTGTGTATATTAATTAGCTCTGGGCTCTCAGAAGAATGAAATGGATACACACCATCACTATCTTTGTAAGCAATTTAGATAGTCTACCACCACTATATTTCTGGGGCACATGGTAGGTACTTAGATATATGAAAGCAATTGTCACAGCAATATTTCTTTTCTTACACTTCATCTACCTGCGTATCTAAAACAAGTCAATAAACAGAAAAGAAAACACGCTTGGCAGTGTGAACGTCTAGGTAGAAGACTCTATGTACCTCAGCTGGGCAGAGAGGAAATGTTAAACTCTACAAGGGGCTTCAAGTGTTCCACAAGCTTCTGTAAAGCATAACCAAGGAAATATGAGCCAGACTTCTGAGCCACTTCCACAGTTGCAAATCGACTCAACTCCAAGTGAGAGAGGGTATTTTCTGTATATTAAGATTCCTTGTCCTCTGATGGAAACCACATAACTCAACTTACTCACACTCTGTGTGGGGAATCATTGTCTTCTTTTCTCCTCTCTTAATTATTTCATTAAAATTTACACTGAGATTTAATCAAACATAGTTCAGAAAACTTTATCCAGTATATCTATGTCATAACCATATTATTCACTATAGCAAACAGATGAGAACAGCTTTTATCCTTGACATGTGAATAGATAAATAGAATGTGATAGATCCACACGGTGGAATATTATTAAATATAATTTTTTTAAAAAAGGAAACTCTAATGCATGCCGTGACCAAGAGTAGAATGGTGATTGCTAGGAGTTAGGAAGGAGCCGGCTGTAAATTTATTACCTAATGGGTATAGACTTTCAGTTTTGTAAGATGAGGAGCTCTGGAGGTGGAAAGAGGTGATGGTAGCACAAAGATACAAGTGTACTTTATCCCACTGACCAACACAGTTAAGAAGGGTTCAGATACTATATTTTATGTTACCAGTATTTTGTAATTATTCTAAAGTCATTAGCCAATATAGTTCAAAAACCTATAGTGCTATTTCTAAAGCTTTCTGGAGGAAGTAACCACTTTTAACTTATTTGGGCTTCTTTCATTCATTTGCAACAGCAAATGACCCGGAGCCAGCAAATGGATGAACTCCTGGATGTCCTCATTGAAAGTGGAGGTAAGGCTGCCCTGAGTTTTGTCACTTGTGCCTACTCTAGGGAATGAATGCTCAGCACAAAGGTCAGAAACACTCAGGCTGGTGCACCAAGCTTTCTGCAAGTAGAGAGTCATTTCCTCTGAGCTTCAAATACGCATTTGAAATGGATAAAAGAAACATGTAGATAATTCTTCCTGGTCTTCATCCTAGAAACACTTTTCACTGAATAATTTTAATAGCTTTTATTCGATTCAATCCATGTTTCCCTGAATATTTTTTCTTATTACATTGTTCGTTCTACAATTCTTATAACAATGTCTCTATTTGTTTAATTATAAGAGAAAAGAACTAGCAGCTAATGAAAGTTCTGGGCTAACTATTCAAAACTCAATGAACAGTTTTCCACCAGATTGTCCACTCATGTTTAAATATTATTCAAGTTAGCAATTAAAAACTGCTGTTTAATGTTTATAGTCTTTCTAGAATGAAGATGTAAGGCTTTTTTACTTGTATAAGTACAAAGAGTTCAGGGGTGAGCATTAAGGTAAGCCATACCATTCAAGTTTCAGAGAAGGCAGCAAAGGACTCAGAGTACGAGTGGCCAGCCATCATGACAGGCTGCATGAAGCACCCACCCTTGTGGATTTTTACAGTCTGATCAGGAAGATGGACAATAAAGGGGGTAGACCACCTGCAAATGAATTGACAGTTGCTTCATTGTAAGCAGAAGGAAGAAGAAAGATATGTGTTAAGATTTATGCATGTCTATAAATTTTATGATTATAAAATGAAAAAGGTTTTATCAGATGTCTTTTTAAAAATGAATTATGTGGCCAAGTGAGTGAAGAGTGAGGATGCAGAGGACAGTATGGTGAAGTCCAGTAAAGGACAGTCATGAAATAGTTATAAATGAGTTGAGCCTTCTAGAGAAGCACAGTAAGATTGTCAGGCATATTAAATGCCAACAGTGGTCTTGAAATTATGAATTCTGAATGGAACAAATAGAGTTTGTTGTGTAAATTTTCTTTCAATGCTCAGATAATTCAGAGCAGGCTCAGAGACAGCAGAGGCTTATCAAGGTGTGTTTTGCTGGGTTTGGACTGGGAAAGAGAGAAGAGTGAGGGGTCTGAGGGTATTTATAAGAGCATAACCATAAGGGTGGATCCGAGAAGATAGGTGAGACAAGGGAGGAAGTGCTGCAGAGGAGCTGATGATCAAGAGGATATGGATTGGAGTGCAACAGAGGATGGGCCAGGTAGAACAGAGTTGGAAATTTGACTTGAAATGAAGCTTCCAGAAGGATCAAGTGTCTGAGGATGACAAGATCCAGGTGTATCCAGGTGTATTCAACAGGGTTTGAATGCAGGACTCCCTGGAGTTGAGGAGGACAAGGAGCTGAGATCCCAGCATGAATGCTGTGTAACTCATGAGGTAGCAGAAATCACAAAGAATGAGAAACACTGAAAAGGCAAAAAGACAATGAACCAGAAAAAGAGCTGTGAGCAGATGAAAAGGGAGGACCAGAGACTAGGAGTGGAGGGAAGGACATTCCCCTCAGAACCGCTGAGGAATATCTAGTCATGAATAGGAGGGGGGTAATGAATAGAGAAGGAACAGCAGAACAGCACCGGCTCTGAACTGCTGGCTCCTGTGGAGAGTACGATGGAGTCTTCAGTATGCTCAGCAGACAGCTGACAGGTAATGAAGGAGTAGGAAAAAGAACCAGAGAGTTGGATCCACACAAAGCAAAAATTCCAGAATAAAAAGGTCTGGGTGACCCTGAGAAAGGAAGATTTGGGGACATAAAAAGCACTGTCATAAGTGGTGAACAGGAAAGTGTATCCCTTTCTGTGTCTGCCTAAGTGTAACTCACTCATTCCAAATCCCCCTTATGTAGCAGGCTTCGTTTGAAATGGTCTAGCAGTTTGCATTCTGCTTTGCCAACAGAAATGCCAGCTGATGCCAGAGGAGATCATGCATGTCTTCAGAAAGTCCCAAAGATACCTGGGACTCCCCGTAGCCCTACCATCATCCTGCCCAAGCCTCCAGCTTCTTTTGAACCCGCATCTTCCGGAGGCCAGCTCTCCTTTGATCACTATGTCACTGACAGCGATGAGCACCTAGAAGTCTTATTAAATTCCCACAGTCCCTTAGGAAAGGTGAGTGATGTCACCCTTCTCAAAATTGGGAGTGAGGAGCCACCTTTTGATGGGATCATGGATGGCTTTTCTGGGAAGGCAGCTGAAGACATCTTCAACACACATGAGATCCTGCCGGGTCCCCTTTCCCCAATGCAGACACAGTTCTCACCCTCTTCAGTGGACAGCAGTGGGCTGCAGTTAAGCTTCACTGAGTCTCCTTGGGAAACCATGGAGTGGCTGGACCTCACCCCACCAAGCTCCACACCAAGCTTCAGCTCCCTCACCACCAGTGGCCCCAGCATCTTCAACATTGACTTCCTGGATGTCACTGATCTCAATTTGAATTCCCCCATGGACCTTCACTTACAGCAGTGGTAGAATGCCTGACACCCGAGTGCCAAGGAAAACTAATGGGAGTTCCGTGGGGGAGAAAACACGGCCATGTACATTTACATTATCAAAGAAGAAGATTGAAAAGAAGCAATGGGGAAGTCTGTGCCAACCAACAAAAGCAAATAGGAATATATATATATATATATATATATATATATATATATATATAGTATTTACCAACATTCAATAACTGTTAATCATTTCAGCAATGCATTCAAAACTATGCTTTCTCAGATTAAGGATGCCAAAGAAAGTACTTTCTCTGCCTTTTTAAATACCAACATTTTTTTCTAGCCCATACTTTTTCTCAGGCATTAGTGGGGCATAAATTCACACTGTAAGCTCCTGGCATGACTTTATTAGACATGCTGTGGTACAAAAACACTAAAAGTCTTTGGCGAATACAGGGAAGATGGTTCTTCAGAGGTTGCAGAGGACAGCCCCAGTGGAGCTCGCTTCCCCTATCTCCATCAGTGGTCTTTCAAAGCAGCAGCCAGGTCCGGCTTCAGTTAGGGACCCCTTAAGGCAGAACAGAGGGGCAGAACCAATGCATTCCCACAACAGTAAATTCCATATGACGTCCCTCACTGCCCCACCGAGTGGTTCCAGCCCAGGACTTGGTGGTCACTCCCAACAACTAACTTGCATTGAATTTAGAAAACTCCACCTAGAACTTTTTTCTTTTCCAACCAGTAGCCCAGACATTCCCATCATCTCCATTCTGATAATAATTGTGCAAGAGGTGAGAACCTTGAACAGGAAACTTTCCTGCCACAGAAGGAGATATCTTGCATTTTCCATCACAATCCCTTTTAATTCCAAAGACTAGAGATAAACAGACCAGGATGTCTCTAGGCAGAAGAAGCTAAATCAGGGATAATTTAGACAAGAGTAGAGAACAACACAGTTTTGCATATTCTAGGAATAAATGCCATGTATTTTTATTACAGGACTGTTATGTATAGAGGTCCAACTTCCTTTGTTTTTTAATTGTGGAAAGAGAGTGTCCACCTCAACAGATCATTCTTCTTCTCTATTTGTCTTTCAAAATAGCAATCCTTTCTTACTCTTCTTTTGACAATTTTTTTTGTCCCAGTATTGAGGGGGAGGACTTCTCAGTTCTAACAAACTGCCATGCTTCTGATAAAGCCATGTTTTTTAGAAAGTTGAAAGCCCATGCTCTCCTGCAGAACTCATTCCTCACATCCACAGTTCACTGCAAAATGAAGTCATAAGAAATTCCTTAGGAAGAAACCGGTGACTTGGTTCCTGGGTCATGAAGCTTGTTCTCTCATTTGATTTATAAGCAATCTTTGATTTTTGTTTCTCTGGGGAAATTGGAAATAATTATATTGCAGGTTTGTGGTGTTGGAAATCATTATAAATACAGATGATATTTACTGGAGAGAGTGTATCTTAGGTCTGGGTATTAAGAAAGCACAGCTGTACATTGAAAAATGATACAAAAAACATGACCATGGTCTAATGAGCATTCCTCATTACCTCTTGTGCCTTGGCAGGGAGTTGTGAAAAAATTCTAATTGTAGGACAGTCTCTTTAAGGCTCACTGTGGCTCCAGTTCACCATTTTATAATGTTGCATGTGTAGAATGTAGCTATTGCTGTTTTTGTTTTTAATTTAACTCACTGAGGCACTGTTTTCTTCTTTAGTAAAAAAAAAAAAAAGTTGTTCACTGTGCACTTATACAGAAAATAATCAAAAAATGTTGTGATGTTAGAAGTTCTCTTTCTGAACCAAAAATTTAGAAATCATTCCATTGTTATTGTTAGCTTGTAAAATGTGTGAACATAGAGTAATTTTGGTAACTGCTACTCTGAAAGCTGCCAGATCTTATTCAGGGGATGGATGCATTGATCAATAGACATGTGCATGTTGTAAGTGTGTGTACATGTAAACACATACATATGTATGCTGACATATTCATGTGTGTGTGCATGTGTCCTGAAAATCAGTGTTACAGAGTTCTGTACCAAAACCCTTTAACCCTCAAACTGCTGTGAATGATACCTGACCTTTCTCACTATGAGTTTCTGATTAGCCAACCAGACTACACCTTGCCTCTCTGTGTATGACTAAGGGCTGCACAGCCCAGTGACTCACAGCCACTTGTTTGCAATGAACAGGCTCCTCTTGGCAATGATATGGATGTGAAACAGCAGAAGGGTTTCACCATTAGTTTCTGTCAACAGTAACATAGTCTCTTGCAGAAGAATTTTAAGAGGAATATGAAAATTGCTTTACATTCCTTGATCTGCACTATGCTAGAAATGATCTGCCTGGTAAATTTTTATTTTGTGTCTATGTGAGTCATCAGAATCAAAAAGTTAGAGGAAAAAAATTACCACAAAGATGAAACAATGGGGAAGAGACTTTTTTCTTTTTCTTCTTCTTCTTCTTCTTCTTCTTCTTCTTCTTCTTCTTCTTCTTCTTCTTCTTCTTCTTCTTCTTCTTCTTCTTTTTCTTTTTGGAATAGGGGATCAAACTCAGGCTCTTGCACTTGCCAGGCAAGTGTTTATTCCACTGAGCCATCTCCCCAGCCCCTGGAAAGAGACCTTTAATGACACATTCCATACATTGGTTTATTCCTCGGATGTGATGTTTGAGTTAGGTCTTGACAAAGCTTACTGTCAGCATACTTTCCAGGTACTACAGTATGCTATCTGTATGTTATTTTCTCCTCTTACTTCCTTTGGAAAACAAGCTCACATGGTGTTACTTTTCTGAGAGCTTGGTTTCAGTGTTCATGATTCTCCCCCTTGGGAATTTCTATCTGAGGGATTAAGCCTGGTTAGGAAACTCCTGTACTTGGCTAGCCTGTGCCTTTTCACTGGGATATTTTTAGGGTACTACTCAAGTCTAACAAGCCTCATGGCAGACAAAAAAATAGGATGATTCCTCTTTGTGACTGCAAGTCTGCAGAGTTAAAGAGCAGATCCCTGGGTAACTGGTCTTAGCTTTCTCCCCATCTTTCCACACCCCAGTCACCCTGCATAGCTCTGCTGAGAGTTTGGGGGAGAAAACTGAACATACTTTAGAAGGAATCAAAGAAGACACCTGTTCCCTGTGGATCAGATAATTGGTAATGCATGTTAATTCATCTGTCTGCTCCTAGAGATTTTTACTTTAAATTCTTATTAACAGTTCTGACCCCTTGTAGTGACAAATTGGGCATGACCAGGAGGTAGGCAAAAAGATGGCCACTTGCACGTGTAATATTCCTTGATCTTAAGGAGGACCACATGTAGTTAAGACCACTGAGGTCCTCATGATGATACAGATAATCAGACCTTTGCAGCTCTTCCTAATGTCGCTGCAGCCTACTAGATTCATCCTTATCCAACACAGCCAGAAAACTCACCCGTGCAAATGCTCTCTGTAAGCCTGTGCTCATTAATAGCTTCTAGCAATGTTATTGAGATAGCACACGTTCTGTCATAGAGGATAGAGGATAGAGGATGAGAGAGAGAATGCAGGAAGAAGAGAGGGAGGAGGAAAAGAAAGGAGAAAGGAAGGTTCAGAGGGAAGGAAGGAGAAAGGAAAGGAGGGAGGGAGGGAGGAAGTAAGGGAGAAAGGAAGGAAGAATGGAAAGAAGGAAGAAAAAATGGAAAGAAGGAATAAAGAATGGAAGGAAAGAAGGAAGGAAGGAAAAAAAAGAGGGGAAGAAATAGAATGACCCAACTTCCTAACCTATGACCCTCTCAGGTCAGCTAAGATATGATAGTGAGCCTTTTGGAGACCAAGTGCCAAAGTTCAACCCAAGCTCCTTTTATATATAGTGAAGTACCAATTATAATTTCACCTGAATATTGAGGTTTTAGTTTAGAATAATAACTCATATATTAACATCTTTTGTCTTAAATGAGAAAAATAGTAACACATACGCCATAGATTCGCCATCACTGAGCTAGGATGGAACGTTCTAAAACATGAAGGACAAACTTGTAAAGGAGAAGCCCTTCTTAACAATGCAACGACTATAGTGGCACATGTGAAAACCAAAGCAGCCTACACTTAAACAGTCAATGCTCTGTGAACTGGCAATCTCATTCTGTTTAAAAACATTTATTTTTAATCTTGGAAAAAATAAAACATCCTTTGGTAAGCACTCCAAACAGTTATTTTCAAAAATTACTTTAAATTTACTCAGCTCTTCTAGAGCTAGTCTGGCTGCAAACTCCCACCTCAGATTTACTCACCCAGTAGATAATTGTTTGATGTCTACCACACGCAATGACCATATATCATCAGATCTCCAGGACCAAATTGATTCAGCACAAATTATTGAGATGTGAAATGACAAAAGAGTTGTAATCCTTAAAGCAAGAACACTGGGAATTCTCTCAATCCCCAAACTAGATACTTTTCAGCCACGCTATAAATGGGCCTGCTTTTTCTAGAAGAGATAATAGTGGGTCCCTTTCAGCTAAAATCTGTCTCCCTTGGAAAGATTGCTGTCTTTTTTCTTATAGTCAAATAGTAGCAGTTTATCACTTGGAATTCTATATCTCCCACCATTTAAAACATGTAAAAATTTTAGCATTTGTTTTTATTCCTGGTTACAGAAGTCCTTTTTAAAAAAGGGAAATAAATAACATAACATAATATAACATGACATAACAGGCCAGGGAGATAGCTTGGCTGTCTAAGTGCCTTCCTGACAAGCACAAGGACCCAGGTTTGATCCCCAGTACCACCCCCAGAACTCCAGGGGGTGCAGAGCTGGCCACCGAAACTGGACATGGTGGCACATGCCTCTAATTCCAGTGCTGGAGAGGCTGAGACAGGAGGAGCACTATGAGTCCAAGCTGTGTAGCAAGATACTGTACCAATTAATTAATTAATTAATTAATTAATTTTTTAAAAAGAAAAGAAGGGAAGGGTATAGAAAATATTTTTGCCATACTTTAGCCTCATCATCATAACTAGGTCTCTAGACCAGAGGAGCACTTATGGGGTGGAGGGCAATGTGGAAAAATAGTAACACGTGCCATAGGTTCACCACCACAGAGCTAGGATGGTGCGTTCTAAAATATGAATGACAAACTTGTAAAGGTGAAGCCCTTCTTAACCATGAAACGATTGTAGTGGCACATGTGCAAACCAAAGCAGCCTACACTTAAACAGTGAGCCTCCCTCCCTTAAGAGAAAAGCTTTGCAATGTAAAGACAGCTTGGCCTCCCTCCACCTTTTCAGGCTTTGGTTGCATTTCTCACAGGAGAAGTTCACAAATGCTAGAACATGGCTTGCTATCAGAATGAAAAAACCTGAAGTGGAAGATGTCTAGTTTTCATTTTCCTGTGATTCTAATTATAAACCAGCAGGTGGCTCAGGTACTGATGTTGCTGATGCTTGATTAAACAGACAGGAGACACAGCTCAGGTCCCGGCACAAGATGGTCCCATAATGCCAAGAGCTAGTTGTGTTTAGAAGCCCTGATTAGGTTGAGGCTATCCATGGGGAAATGATTTCAAGACATGGAGGGATTTAAGAAGAATTTGTTGTCATCCACCAGGGATATTGTACTAGGGCCCACTGGACTCAATAGCATGAGTAATTTCCCTGCTGATCCTAGGACTCAGTGATTTCCCCTATGGATTAGCACAAAAACCTCCTGGATGTCTCCTGTGCTTTTATTAACAACCTGCTTTGATCATGGACACTGGACACTGGACACTGGTGGGAGGCACTTCCTATAGATGGTTTAGCTACTCTGGGTATGTAAGGAATAGGAATATAGTAATGAGATTCTGGAATCTATTTAAATGTTTTCCAAAGGAATAAGACCCATACTGTTCCCCAGAGATTAGTTCCTGTGGCCTTACATTGAGGGCCAGGACAGTAGATTGCTGGGTGCTTAAAATCCTCCCTCAATGAAACACAGATAGGCATGGTGTAAAGAACCGAGAAGTGAGCGTGCAATCTTGCGGGACCCATGCGGTGCATGTCCATGCTGAACTCATTGCTCAACTCCATGTAACAAGAACTAGATGGGGGATACTGGGAAAAGCAAAGAAGCAGTGGCTGCCATACCAAAGTTGGCATGTGTTCTTTTTTTTTTTTTTTAAAGAAAATGCATATATTTTTAAATAAAATGTTTATTTTAAACAGATGTCAAACTTTCTTTTACTTGATTATATGATGTATTCAGGCCCAGAGCTATATTCTGTAAATTTCCTTTTATTTCACAAAGCAGTGCTGGTATTATCCCTGTTTTGCAAATGAAGAAACAGGCTCAGAAGTGAAGTCAGTTGCCCAAGATTACTTAACTGGCAGAATAGCAGAGCCAAGACTGATTTTCCCACCTGATCCAAAGCACTGGACACCCTGCCCGAGCTTGCCATTCATCATGTTAATCCAACGAGACATCTTTGCAAAACTGATCTTTTAAAGCTACATTAAAATACACGCTTATGCACAAACCATAGCCAATTCAATGTTTTCATCAGTGTAGCAAAGGAAAAAACTAAGCATCATGTTGAATAAATTGGGCATCACCGTGGCCTGTTAAATATGTGGATCTTCCCCAGGTAGAACCTAGCTTTTACTCACTTTTCTACCTTAAATATAACTCTGTTAATAATTTTCTCCTTGCTGACTATGTCATCTTCAAGGAAGAACTAGGATACCATCACATGACCTCTGGACTAAGGATGCCATACTCTGTTTAGATGTGCATTGATCTTTTATAGTTTTGCCTTCCCTAGGTCTTACTGCTTGGTGGGCTCCCCCTTCATCAAGAAACAAGGTTGTGGTTGCCAGAAGCCCATAGTATAGCATAAATAAGTTTCTCACCCCTAAAAGGCTCAACAGAAAATGCACACTGGCTTATGGTGGCCATCACAGGTCATGCCTATCCCCAAACCCATCTCTGTGGTCATTAAACAAGTATAAACTCATTCACAGTGCCCAGAACACCCCCCACAAGCCCTGAGCTAAGTAGTGTGATTAATGAATTTCATGCACTACAAGCACAGAAGGTAAGTTTTCATAAGGAACCATAAGGGTACTGTTACTGGGGAGGAAGTGGCTCCTGAAAATGCAGAAATAAATTTCAACTACATAATCCATGCCTTCAAAAAGTTTGCCATCTAATAAGGTTGGAGACAAGTAGGAAATGTGACATCATTGGATAAGCACATGCTGCACAGTAGCAGAAGGCCATGTAGTAGTCTTGATAGAAAGAGAAAAAGAGAAGAAGACCATGGAGCCAAGATGTTAATGACAAAGGAGTTAAGTATACAAACTGCTAAGGAAAAGAGCATTCCAGGTGAGGGAGCAGCCTTGCAGAGAACATGGGGTAACGGATCTGACCATGTTTGGGGAATGTAAGAAGTTCAGGACAGTTGCAATAGAATAAGGGGGCAGGGATGCTGTTGGTAGAAATGTAGGAGGGA